TAGAGAACATCTCATTCATGATCCTGATGCAGTCATGATCTGGCTGGCTGGCCCAACAGGGTCAGTAGAGTTGCCAGATTCATGGTCTGCATTCCTTTTAGGTGAATGTGTGTGTTCTCACATAACATCCCCTGATATCTGATCATCTGGGTGTTAGTTAAACAGTATTGTCTTTTGTACTCTGTTAATGTCAGTACTGAATGTGGCATTCAGACTGTCAGTTGTTGTCCCATAGTCAGTTTATCAGTTTCTGCCACCAAGAGGGCCGTAGCTCCAAGCACTCACAAACAAGGTGACTAGTCCTGCAGGACGAGAGGGATATGCCACTGGCTGATGCCATGGCCCCAGTATCTTAGGTTAAAACACCCACTGCAGTACCAGCACACTCATTCATGGAAGTACAAGAAGAAAGGCCTCGTCATGTCTGGAAGTCCCATGCCCAGTTCATTGGCGAGAGCTGTTTGATCTCTTTAAAGGCTTTTTGCTATGTTTGTTCCCACAACAGAGGTTCTCCCCTTCTCTTTGTGACTTTATAAAGGGGTTTTGCCAAGACCAAGAAGTCTAGGTATCCATATTCTATACCAGCCTGAGGCTCCAAGGAACTCTTGGACCTGGTACTGGGTCATCCGGACTTGAATTGCACAAACTGCCTGCTTCCTCTCAGATCTAGAGAAGTTAGGACTTCTCTCACAAGGGACTTAGATCCTTCCACCTGGAAGAAACCACTTTTTTCTGAACATCAGGTTATGCCCTACCTGTTACAATTTTTTTTCTTTTTCCTCTTGGTCTTAGATTGTTACCATTCTAAAACTAACTGGCTACCAACAAACTTTTAAGTAATCTTCAATCAGTACCCTTATCATCAGCAAAAAACAGAGAAGAGAAAATTAACCCTGTAATTGTAGTGTAAGAATTTATAATCCATAAGAAATGTTTTAAGTATGTTAAACAAAAATACCAAATTAAATTGGAAGCCAAAAGTAAATTTATCAATTAGCTAAGGTTTGTAACTTGATTCCTCCCTCACCCAGGGGAACTTCCTTCAAGAGAAAGATGGAGTGAGCACCCTCTTTAGTCTGGGGAAAACAGACGATTCTGAACATGCTTTTGGTACCTTTTTAATTTTCTCTTGAACCTAGGATAAAATTGGTCTTTCTCCCCTTGTATAACTGCACCAGTGACTGGGCCCCCTTACCTAGTGCCAGCTGCTGTTGAAACAGACCCACCAATTGGTGGGGTTAGGGATTAAAGGCTGGGTATAGGGACTCCAGAGAGTCCCATGTAGAAGTTGAAAGCAGAGCCACATCTTTTCATTTTTTTATTAAGTCTCTGAGTTTTTAGGAGAAAGAGAACAATTGGTTCTTGTCACCAACACAGGTTTATCTCCTCCTGAGATCCTAGTCATTATCCTTAACAACCTCAATCAACAATTGATATACCCAGGTTCGTCTGATCCAAACTTTGACCAGGAGGACGGGGTAAGGATGGAAGTTTGTGGTCAAATGAAACAACATTTTATCACCCGAGCTTTCTTGTTTTTTGATTGTGTTCCTTTCCCTATGGGTTGCTGTCCTAAGTCCTTAATAATAGTCCAAGGGATTATAATGGGGTATTTTGTTCCTTGAGCCCCTGGTTTTCTAACCTGTCCTCACTGAGGGACACATTTATTTCCCATTCTGTTTGTCCCAAAGCCCAAAGCTCAGTCTCCAGCACTGAGATACCTTAGCTTAAGTTACTTGTAATTTCACCCAAAATTGTGTCAACTTCACCTGAGGTTATAGGTCTCATCCATAACCATCCCAATGTCCAAATAACCCCACAGACTTCTCTTGCCTTGGTTGGTCCATGAAGTTGCCTGGTCATCACAATCCTCTATGTCCCTCTTTGGGACCTTTGGTCAGGTCAGAACCTTGCCACACAGTGACTGCAATCTGTTGCCCAACATCCAGCCCCTAGTATCTAGGCGCCTGATAGTTACAGTTCTGTTCCTTGTGGAACTACTTCAGCAACTCTACTCTGGGAGGTGATCAGGCTCCCCTTTTGTCACTTAGGCAAAATGACTTGGGGTTCTTAACGAATCTGAACTGATTCCTAGGCCTTACCAGGTTCTGTTGGAATCCTCACCCTGGCACCCCAGGAGAGGCTATCCTCCCGGAATCAAATGATCCATTGGCACCAGGCATGGCTACTTCTCCCTTTGCCCCATTGTTCAAGCCCCGATTACAAAGGAGGTGGGAGCACACCATCTCCAAATCCTGGAAGAGCCCCAAAGAAATGTAGTATGATTCTCAGAGATGGCATATGTAAGCCTATCTTTCCAGGAAGCAATATAACTTATGCCAGCATGGGCTCAGTGGGCTAGTACCCAAAAGGCTGAGCTCCCATCATGATGGAGTCTTATGTTTTTCACTTGTTGTGTTTTTGTCTTCTTTAAATGGTAACATGCTAATGTACTACAGCGTGATTGGGTACAATCTATGCTACGGGCCTATACTAGAAATGCACGTGCATATCAAGGAACTAACTGTGCCATGTTGCCTTTTTTTGTTCTGAGAAGGCCCATACTGTATTCCTTCAGGAGGAGCTCTGCCACACTTTTCTTAGATGAATAGGCTCTTTTAGAAATTGTTTTAAAACTGAAATTATTACAGAGCATACAAATGCCAATTTGTATTCAAAGGACCTTTGTATTCAAAGACTCCAGAAGCAACTTGAAAGTTTGTTTTCTCTAATGATATTTGGATCACTTAATTTACCTCTTCTTACAAGTCAATTTTAGATATTTGTCCAGTTTAGGTTTTGGTAGTGGTAGAGATATCTTCATACTAACTAGTGGCTTATTTTTAGTGGTTTGGGGTTGGAAGCTGTTTCTGCAGTCTTTGAGGTCTATAGGGAAAGACTTTTAAGGTCATTTTTAGATCATCTATATTCCCTTTTGCCTAGTGGGATCACTAATGAGTTGACAAAAATGGGTTAGTATAGTAAAAAGTCCTGATTAAATGATCGTGGTGACCAGGAGAAGACCACTTGTAGGTGTATGTACCTCTTAGGGTCTGCACCTCAGTCCAATGAGCCAAACACATGAGCCTGGGGGGAGACCATGGCAACTGCCCACGTCATGCGGGTCAATAGTATGGCATAGCTACAAAGGGCTGAGGTGACCAGGGCCACAGTAACAGGTAAAATCTCTAGAAAACAGGAAAGGCAGTGTTCTACACTGTACTGTCTACCCCACGCTGGACCCTGGTGTGAGTTTGGGGTTCTCTCCTTAGCTGCATAAATTCCACAGTGTTTAAATCTGGAGTGTATTCAAGGCAGCATGGTCAGTATGAAGAGAAAACATGAAACCATGTTTATCTAAGGGGGAGGTGGAGGAACTGGGATGTTTGTTTTTGAGGAGAGGGCTCAGAATCACTATTTTTGCAGATATAAAGGGCTGTGGTGGAGAAGAGCAGTTAGACTGAAGGATTGGAACAGTTAGTACAGTTAGACTGATTGGAACAGATTCGGGCCAAGACAGTCAGTCACTTGCTGCTCACATGTGACCTGAGTGAGCTGCTTCAGAAGCTGTACCATTTTGAAGATGGCCATGTTGAGGCACATGATTGCTGTGTTATAAAGAATCTAGGAAACTCCATCTCACCTGTAGGATCCTGGTTCTGCTTTTCACCATTTGCATGCTACAAATGTTTCTGGACCATTGTCCATGTTCCAAGTGCTGTGTGTGCCCAGAGAGCTCCTTACTTGGTCTGGAAAAGAGCACTGGATGGAACAGGGAACAGCAGGCTCAGGCTGATGATGGCCTATGGGACTGGATGGGAGGTGGCCATATAAAGGGCAGCAGCCAGGTACTGACCCAGATAGAGGAGGAGGTGTTGCAGATAGAGGGTAGAAGGTGCAACACGGCAAGACTGGGCAGATACTCCTCCTTATGTGCTGACCTGAGCTTTGGGCTTGGGAGCTGTGGCCTGGCATAGCTCACTGGGCTTGTACGTAGGAAAGTTGAAGATAGAGGGTAGTAGCAGTGAGGCCCTGTTGGTCCACCTCTGTGAGGCTGAGGTTTCTCACCTCCAGTGTCTAGCCCATGGTGTCATTGGCCTTATCAGCCTGTGGGTAAAAATAGAATCATGTTGGCGTTAACACCCCTATTTCATTCACATGTCCTGGCATCTCAGGACTCCCCTAGAGATGTTACCCAGTTATTTCTGGGGCCCTTGGGACACCTCATCAACTGACCTCTGCACTCTGCCCTCACTGCTGTCACAAGTAACACCTGTGAGCACTTGAGGACCTTCTGAGCCATGCCCACTGGTGCCCACGTCCTCTGTGACAATACTGACAGTGCTGAAGTCCTGGATCTGCAGCCCTTATGGTGCCAAAGGTGACACTGTACTTCACTGCCACACTGTTCCCAGCACAAGTGGAATGATGGTCCACTTCCATGTTGTGTCACTTTTTGTCACTTACTAATGACAAATGAGACTAGATGGGCCCTATGTCTCACAAAATCCCTCTTGAAGTGAGCCCTTTGGTTTTGGTTTGCATGCCTGCAGCTGTGGCACCATAGTTGAGACAGCGGGGTTCTCTGTACTGCAGAGAGGTGTTCCTGAGGTGTCCCCAAAGTGCCCAGGGGTTCCCAGTCTAGGCCATCTTTCCTGAGCAGAAGATAAGGCAGCTCCCCAGATCATCAAATGGACTATACAAAGGTTAATCTGATTTTCACCACTTATACTCTGCCTGACACAGGGCTGGACACTTGTCATAGATCATATTGGTCACTCTTGACCTTGAGAGAGTGGTCAGAGGAATCAGTGACTTGCTCAAGGTAAACAGTGGACAGGGCTGAGTCCCAGGCCAGGCTGGCCCGGAGCATCACAGACCCCAAGCTTTGTTCCAGCACTTGTCCATGAGCAATCATCCATACAACCTGGTCAGCAGTAAAGTGCCCACTTGGCTGTTTGTCCTCTTTGCATAAACATAGCATTGCCTTCTGCCTACAGGGTTGGGAAGAGACTGTGGATGCTGCTGTGTCCCACCTATTAAAGACTTGCCTGTCAAAGAGTTCCAAGGAGCGGGCTTTGAACCTCAGCAGCCACCTGGATATGCCCAAAGACACAAGCCGGCTCAAGAAACACATCACCCTGCTGTGCGACAGACTCGCCAAAGGAGGCCGTCTCTGCCTCAGTGCCGATTCGGCCGCCCCGCAGACCATCATCATGCCAGGTAAGGGCCCTGTCCTGTGCTCTGAGCATAGCTTTCCTTCCCCAAACTTAAGAGATGTGCCTGTGGTTGGGTTGGGGTTTAAATTTCATATTGAAGCTATGACAGCCAAGAAAATTGCTTCTGGGTTTCCTGAAGATATTCCTGGGAAACCACTAGATAAATTATTCTTGGGGTATTTGCTTGCTAGACATTTCTCAGATGGTATGTCCTTAGAAAAAGAATCCCTGTGCTTTTAAGTATGTGATCTCTTTTGTTTTGCTTCTAACCGATTAAAAGTGGGTTAGAGAATACAACTCTTGTTAAGGAAGTTTACCAAATGTGATCTCACCATACCATATTTCATGAATGCACATAGCATGATGTAGACACTAATGGTCTCTGGTTAGTCAGGACACCTCCACTGTGTGCTCTATGTTTATCAGAATGTGGGAGAAAATACTGAGGTGGACCTATAATCAAGCAAGATTCAGGGCCAAGGCCTCTATGGGCCAGCTCGCCCAACCTGAGCATTGGTGAGGCTTGGTTATTGGGGTCTGCCCTTCCCATCAGGACTGAACAGCCTATTGCACAGCCTGGGTTCCTTCCAGACAGTGGTGCCGAGGTCCACCTCTCCCTTCCCAGTGTCTCTGTGGCAGCAGCAAGGAATATGACATAAACTTATTAAATGCAGCAGCAGTGGCATCTGTTTCTCCCATAGCTTAGAGACAGTTCTGACACTGCTGACCTTTGCACAGGTCCACTTTAGCTTGCTTTGTAGCACCCCAGAGTCACCTTTGGCCTCCATGTGCCCATCTGTGTCCACTGAGACAGGATGTTTTCCTAAGGACTGAAACATTATGCCCCCTAAGTTGGTAGATGAAAACTCTTCACTGTTACTGGCACTTGGGAAATGGCTCTCCTCCCTGCCTGCCACTGGAGCTTGAGTGGGAAAGGACAGCTATATAGTAAGGAAAACCTGAAGAAAGTGAGGCCAGCCCACCTGGTCAGGCCCCTGACAAGAGGCTGACAAGAGGAGACCCAGGTTTTCTTTGGAAAGGAGCAAGCATGAGGATCCTGGAGACATGGTGGGCACAGGGCCCCCGCCGCTTGGTCACACTCACTGAGCACAGAACTCTCATGTTTTTCTTTCCAGGACTGAGCGATGTGAGGGCTGTGTCCATATCTAGGGCACAGAGTGGTAAAGCCTTCAGTGAAGGATGTTTGAGTGGGTGGAAGTAGGGGCAGATGAGAGGGGAGGAGAGCAGGGAGGGAGGTAGAAGTCAACAAGAAAGAGCTAGAAGATGTGCTGCTCACACCTCATGTGTGCCCCATGTGTGGCCAGGCAGGGAGACAGAGGCTGTGTGTTTTCATGTCACTGACATGGCCACACTGCTTGCTCTCACTGGTAGTGACCCACTTGCCACTCTTGGTCCCACAACTCTCCTGCACCTTGTTTAGGTCTAATCATTGTAGTATGTTTTTAAAACTCATTACATCAATGTTGTTTGTCACTGACATGGTCACTCACTGCTTATAATACTTTTCCTTCCTAGAACTCAAAATATTTCTCATACTTTTGCCAGGATGCAGCAATATTTTTAAGGTAGAAGGAACATTGAGAATTAGTACTACTTACAGATAGAAGATGGAGGCAGGAAGGGAGACTTTTTTGCCTGGAGGTCCATGGTCATTGGGAGGTTGGCCCTGGAGTTGACATCCCTTTGCCTACCCTGCTTCCTGCAGACCAAGGATCAGAAGGCTACATCTAGCCAGGGCTGCTTCCTGCATAAGTTGTGCCTGACCTGGCCTTCTTGCCCTTAAACTGGTCAGTGGCATGGGAGGAAAAGACTAAGGAAGATAGACAAGAAATCAATAATGAAATATTAGGACTGAAGTGAACTTTTGAACAAATGGACTTAGTAGATGTCTATAGAGTGTTCCACCCTGCAATATAAGAATATACATCCTTCTCAGCTGCACATGGGATGTTCTCCAAAATAGACCACATCCTGGCACATAGAATATGCTTAAGTAAATGCAAAAGAATTGAAATTATCCCATGTATGCTATCAGACCACAGTGCATTGAAATTAGAAATTCATGGCAGAAAAAAACCACAAGAACTTCATAAACACATGGAAATTAAATAGCACCCTCCTAAACAACCAATGGGTCACAGATGAAATTAAAGAAGAAATTAGACAGTTTTTACAGTTGAATGACAATGATAGTACAACATACTATAACTTATGGGACACAATGAAAGCAGTCTTAAGAGGAAAATTTATAGCAGTAAATTCCCATATAAGGAAAACAGAGCAAGCACATATAAACAACCTAATGATGAACCTCTAACTTCTAGAAAAAGAAGAGGAGGCTAAACCAAAAACTACAAGAGAGGAAATTATAAATATCAGAGTAGAAATTAATGTATTGGAGACTTAAATACAAAGAAGCAATGAATCTGAGAGTTGGTTCTGTGAGAGATTCAATAAAATGTACAAACCCCTATCCGACCTTATCAAAAGAAGGAAAGACTCAAAATTCATCTAATTAGGAATAAAAAGGGTGAAATCACAACAGACCAGATATCCAGAAGATAATCTATACTGACTTTGAAATTTTGTGTTCTAAGGTAGAAAATACAGAAGAAATAGATTCCTAGATACATATGAATTATCAAAGCTGAATCAAGAAGATATAAACATCGTAAGTAGACCAATATCAATCCATAAAATCAAAGATGTAATTAAAAACCGTTCAATGAAGAAAAGCCCAGGCCCTGATGGATTCACTGCTGAATTCTACAAGAAATTTAGAGAAAACCTAATAGCACTACTTCTCAAACTCTTTAATGAAGTTAAAAGGGTAGAAATATACGCAAATTCATTCCTGGAAGCAAGCATTGCCCTGATACTAAAATCAGAGAAGGACCCAACTAAAAAAGAGAATTACAGGCCCATTTCCCTAACGAACTAAGATGCAAAAATCCTTAATAAGATACTGGCAAACAGAAAACAGCAATCATCAAGAAGATTATACACCGTGATCAAGTGGAATTCATCCCAAGGGATGCAGGGATTGGTTCAACATATGTAAATCAATAATGTGGTACAACATATTAACAGAGCCAAGGTCAGAAACCATATGATCATCTCAACAGATGCAGAAAAAGCTTTTGACAAAGGGTAGCACCAGTCCATGATTAAAAACACCTACAGAAAATTGGAATAGATGGTCTTTATCACAATTTGATTAAAGCTATCTGTGACAAACCAACAGCCATCATTATACTAAATGAACAAAAACTGAAAGCTTTCATTCCAGAATTAGGAACAAAACAAAGATGTCCATTGTCTCCATTCTTATTCAACATAGTTCTGGAAACTTTAGATACAGCAATTAGACAAGAGAAAGAAATGAAATGAATAAAAATAGAAAAGGAAGAGGTTAAACTATCATTAATTGCCAGTGACATGATACTTTGATAGAAGACCCAAAAACTCCACTAAAAACCTAGTAGATTTAATAAGCAAATTCAGTAGCATAGCTGAATACAAAATCAACACTCAAAAATCATTGAAAACCATGGTACTCTGAAAAAAGAGATTGAAGAAGGTATTATAAAATGGAGAAATGCCTCATGCTTTTGGGTCTTCCTACCCAATATATAGTAAAAACAGTCATACTTCCAAAACTGTCACACAAATTCAGTGCAGTTCTATCAAAATTCTAATAACTCATCTCACAGAATTAGAGAAAACAATCCTAAAATTCACCTGGAACCAGAAGAGGCCTAAGGTAATCCTGGTCAACAAAGACAAGACAGGAGGTACACAATTCCGAACTTGAAATTATACTATAAAGGTACTGTGATAAAAGCAGTATGGTGCTGGTGAAAAAACAGACTCCAAGATCAGTGGAACAGATTAGAAGATGCAGAAACAATTCCAGATACACTAAGTTACCTTACCTCTGACAAAGATGCTAAACATATTCACTGGAAGAAAGATAGCCTCTTTGGTAAATGGTGCTGGAAAAACTGGTTCTGCTCATACCAAAGATTAAAGTTGGACCTATGTCTTTCACCATGCACTAAACTAAATTCAGAATGGGTCAAAGATCTAAATATCAAAGCAAATAATAAATCTGCCAGAAGATAAAGTAGGTAAAACACTTGAAGACATTGGTGTAGGTAAAAACTTTATGAACAAAACCCAGATTGCACAGGAACTATCACAAAGAGTCAACAAATGGGATCTCATCTTATTAAAAAGCTTTTGCATAGCAAGAGAAACCACCAACAGAGTGAAGAGACAACCCATAATGGGAGAAAATGTTTGCCAGCTGTTCCTCAGACAAAGGATTACTATCGAGTCTATATAAAGAACGCAAAAAAAAAAAAAAATCAGTTCTCTCAACTTTAAAGACCCAATCCAAAGATGACTAGCTGAGATGAATACATACTTTTTCATACAAACAGCAAATAAATATATGAAAAAGTGTTTTAACATCACTAGTCGTTCAAGAGATGCAAATTAGAACAGCACTGAGATTCCACCTCACCCTGGAAAGAATGGCTGTTATCAGGAAACCAACCAATAGCATGCTGGAGCAGCTGTGGGGAAAAAGGAGCCCTTCTTCATTGTTGGTAGGAGTGTAGACTGTTGCAAGGGCTGTGAAAATCAATATGGAGATTCCTCAAAAAGCTATAACTGGAGGTCCTATTTGATGCTGCTGTTCCTCTTCCGAGTATCTTCCTAGAAGAATTAAAAACATAATACCACAGTAATATATGTGCACCCATGATTATAGCAGCACAATTTGTAAATAGGTAGATATTGGAAACAACCTAAATGCCCATCAACAGAAGAATGGATTAAAAAGATGTGGTATTTTTATGCAATGGCGTACTACTCAGCCATAAACAGTAATAAACTTGAGACTTTTATAGGTTAATAGATGCAACTAGAGACCATATTCATAAGTGAAATAAATAAGACACACATGTGTAAGCATCA